ATATGGGAGTAAATACCTCCTTGAATAATTTTCCTTATGATTATGTAGCGGTAAATAAATCCCCAAAATAAATAGCTCTGTAAGTCTTCGACACTGGATGCTGACCATATGTTTTAATGGATTCGCCTAGCTGAAGGCGCTCGGTCATGCTTCCGCACCAGATCACGTGTGGGAACGCCGTGCTCAACATCTACTGCAATCGCTAGCTAGACTAGATCAGACAATTCTGATACATTGACAATCGTCAAATACAACTTCTGTCCTCCTTGATTCTGTCTTTTGATTTCTCTTGGTGGGTACGCGTTATATTAGAAGGTGTTACTAGTAAAAGCGTTGTCAAACACTGAGTACCTGTTCCATTTTCAATTATCAACTTTTCGTTCCGTTGTATTTATTGCTGCTCCTACTAATGTTTGCAGTTTCGTATATTTGTCGATTTTTTTGGTTTGCTTGCATTTATTACACCTATATTGTTAAAAAATTCTGAATAGTAAATAACTCACTGATGTTGATAAGTCCTCAAGTAAGTGTTTACATTTGTTTTACATTACATTTCTTTGCGGTGATCAACATTTTAGACTGCTGGCTTAAGTTTGTACTTTGTGGACTGGTCGCTTCTGTCATATGAGGTTGATTTTGAAGTGAGTTCTCTGTTCGTTTAAAAAATGTTTACCATTAAATAGAGTGAATTATTCGTATTTTTTTCACACATTGTTTTCTGGTTACCTACACATTTTTGCACTGACTGACTGTACATGAGATATTGCTCCATCTGATCCCTCAACAACGTGATTTGAGATGTGTGAATAACTAATTATTCTGACAAGAGCGTTGGATTTATTAGCTTTTGAGTTTGACAGTTTAGGAATACCCTTGCCCTTTCTTGCATCATCTTCTAGGAACAATAATGATAAGCTTGCTATTCTGTACTAAAACTGCAAACATCCATATGGGAGATGCACCAATAACGAGGTATTATAGTCAAAAGTACTCGAATTATATTATTAAACAAGAATTCCTGGAACAGTGCAAGTTAAACCAAATAAGACTAGGTGAGTACAAACGGACGTACTGTATTTAGAATTTGATATCAAGAAGGAATCAAGTTTAAAACAATCATTGTTTGGCACAAACACCACACGAGCATAGAGTCTTAGTTGTTGAAGTAGTTTGAGGAAATCTCCAGGATTATGGTCTACGTCGTTGTTAATATTATTATAATAATAGACCTAATCCTGAAATTGTAGATATTTCATGGTATGACTGTCTAATCTATGAGTCACATCACTGTCTACGCTGACTCATCGTATCGTAACAGTTAACAATATGGTGTCTGGAGTTTGTAGAGATCTTATTCAGACTAAAGATAGGATAAATACATATAGAGTGAATTAAAACAATCTATACAGAATGACCATGATTGATAGGCTAATCCACGCAACCTACTACAAATACTTTGAAATCCTTGCACGACACCCGATAGGAAGAAATCCGAAGTAATAACACTAATTAGTAAATTCGAAATTTGATCTGAGTTCTCTTCCCTCAAATATATTGTTTACGTTTTTACATCTGTCATTGACTTCGAAAATCGTACAACTTTATCATAGATTAAGATAAAATCAGAGCCATTAGTACGCAAATAAATGTGTAAATCCAGTGATCTAATCCCCATATATCTATACACAGAATAAACATATTCATTAACTAGGAAGGAAGCAAGAGGATAACTACTTTCTCCTTACGTCAATGTACAAAATTTACCAATAATGCATAACGGATTTTTCGTGGCACGAGTGATTAAAATACTCATCGCCATAATAAAACAAAAAAGGTTGTTGGAAATAACTAATTTTATCGTGTGTTTAAATGAGACTCGCCTATGATAGCCTGTCCATGAAACTGCAATATTCAGATTCTGATAATGTGGTCACGAAGCACAAACAAATTTTTTGAATCGTGACTTTCACGTGTTCTGAATTATGTCACATGACGATTGTCTACTAGTAATATCTTTTTCCGTTGAGTGGGAGTAGAGCTGGTCTGTTTGAAAAAGCGAGATTCCTTACCAAACGATAGGATTTCCTTCCTCCACCAGTTAACTACTGATTGACTCCTAGGGGGGTTGCTCTCTGTCCCAAGTAGTAGTAAGCAGAGAAGGGTTTTCGTGATGTTGACAACGCCATCCGATAGACACGAACTTTACCTAAGAAACATCAACTAAAAAAACCATTCGAAGAATTTAAGTTGTACCTGGCGGTTAAAGATTCTTCACGAAAAATTGTTATAACGTTTCGTGGTGAAGACGAGTTTTCTCTTAATCTCCTGCTCGATGAACCGTCTGACGACCAGGAAAACAGCTAACATGTGTACACGGAGAGGATGTACGATGTAGAGACAGGGGACCATTCGAGTAACTCCATTATTCATGTGAGGCCAGCGAAATATCACCAAGCCCTAGCCAAGTCATCCGGCAGTTGGGTCATTGAATATCGAGCAAATCATCGATCCTCATCAAGGTCAGGGACAACCAACGCCCTTCAGTTAATTGTATGCCATGGACTGGCCCGTGCGGCATTGGTCTTACTTTCGATTGTATCTACATTAACTAATGTATTTCTGTAGTAACGTCCTCTGCGTTGTACAGTCTTCAAAGCATCTATGGCACCTTGATACTTCGATGGGGTAGTCCACGTAAGGTGCTGACCATGAGGTGTGACTACGACATTAGCTAGTTTGTCACACCATTCACGTCTAACTCGAGTAGGTCTCCAATTTCGACATAGATAATCTACGTTGGCGATCTACAGTTATATGTATAAATATATCATAAGAGTGTACCGAAAGTGCGAAGCTAAATGGGCTTTACAGAAAATACCAACCTCAAAAAAGGCGTGATTAAACTGTTTTCAATGAAGTTGAAAATGCCGTGTGTACACGAAGAGTTAGACTGAGGTCTTTCAAAGAAGCAATAAAAGTACTTATAAAGTGGCAGTTTCATGAATTAATATACAAATGATTCATTAGAAGAAAGAAGGGATGGATTAAAATCACTATTATAAAGTGCTATGCTTTCACCAGTGATAGCTCTGTATACGATAAAGTTCAGTTTTATGGGAGGATTTAGTCGATTGTAGAGAAGTGGTCAGAAATGTACACCGAGTTTGAGGATAATATGTGATGATATGGACTTTGACTAAGGAACGAGAATGGTTAGATAATTCCAGAAATATATACGTTACGGAGAACCAAGTTGTTTTCATTTCCTCTAACAGAAAGTTCAGTACAGCTAAGGAAAATATTAAAACAAGTAAAGTTTCAGCTCGCCATCTAATGGCACACAAGCCGAAACTGCAGCTAAACAAGCCCAGATAACTAGAGAAACCAAGTTACAAAATTTTGATTCCTCTTTATCTCGAGGTACTGACAAACTCGGTAAGAGACTGAAGAGGCGAAAACTTCAAAATTTATGGCGGTCAAAGGCTGCAATGGTACAACTGTAAGTAGTGTGAGGCTGCCACAAGTATTTGGAGTTTGATAACGCTTTGACCAGTAAGACCTGATATGAATCGTACCCACTAAGTGAAATCAAAAGACAGAAGAGAGGAGATTCGAAGATATATTTGATAGGCTATCAGTATACCGAGAATCGTCTGATCTAATCTGGCTGGCGATTGAAGGGGTTGTTGAGCATGGCGTTCCCACACATGATCTGGTGCGGATGCATGACCGAGCGCCTACAGCTAGGTGAGTCCATTAAAACTAATGTGGTAAGCATCCAATGTCGAAGGCTTACAGAGCTATTGATTTCGCAGATTTGTTTACAGCAACAAGTGGATCCCTACTGATATTTTGAGTAGGATCTCGGACAGAGCATATAAGCAACCTTTCAACGGCAACGGAATGTGATCAGAATAACGTAGGGCACATAATGAATAAGTAGATTTAGGAAAGGAGAGCATTGTTGCTGACAAGCAAAAATATGCGAAGACCTGGCTGCTGCAGCAGAAAAAGCTGAATTAATTACATAAATCAAATAAGGAGCGAGTAAACCGGAGAGATCAGGCAAGGATCGAGATTCATGAGCAATGATACAGCTTAGTGGAAAACTAAGAATAGATTTTCTGTAGAAAACCCCATTGGACATACGGGACATCGGAGCGTTACTTACAAAAGTTACTACAGAAGAGTAACACTTTAATAAGTAATAGACAAAGTTTTTAAAAGTTTCGCTTAATTCAGAGAAATATTCAATGGACCCTGAACTTTCAGACTAACAGTCTGAGTTTCACAAGGATCGATCGTATGCCGACAAATTGCGACACTATGGGTTCATGTTCGACCACCAACTTAGTAAAAATCGTCGGTATACATTAACGTCTCGGACTATAAGTAGGCGTTGGATAGAGTACGGAGTGCTCTTCGACACTGTGACGTACTGAAAAAGATTAATATCATCATACGATACAGATAAGTTCAGAGATGTCTACCTAGTAAAGACCGGTCTCAGAATAGGCTCCTGCTTTCTGTACCTTTATTGTAGCTGTTGGATGGATCATGAAGGCTTTCATAACATAGGAGAAACATGGGATACAGTTGAAATTATCTACAAAACCACACAATTCAGAGTAAGCAGAGTGAATTGTCTTTTTACCCCATACACGGAAATTGCCCGGGAAGTACTAGCTTCCATACTAGAAGGCTTTAACAGGAGCAAGTAAATGCAAGATCCCAAAGTGTAACGCGGTAAGCGGAAGCCAAATCAAAGTAGATGGCGAAGCTTTGGAAGGGACGCCATCATTTATAAGCATATGCAGGATCATTAATAGACCAGGAAACAACCGTCAGCATGAGAGCTTTATTCTAACGATCGAACTCAGGAGAAATATCAGATAACATCAAAGTCGGAATTTGTGAATATGTGTTTGTTGTAAGTTTAACGAAGATCAGCTGATCTTATGTTTATTAAATGCGATAGGGTTGTTTAACATTTTTAGTATAAACAGCAACTTTTCAAAAAGGAGGAAATGATTTTAGAGGTTCTAAGTTTAGTTGCGAGTTTGCCTTTTCATCTAGGTTTGCATTCTAAGATTCATATACTGCTTACGTAAATTTTAGAAGCTCTTGAGTGCTATATTTGTACAAATGAGGAGGGAAACTGGAATGACTGTATTAGAACTATTCAAACTTGCGAACCTTTACAAGATACCTGCCAGTCTATTGTTCAGTATCGAAGTAACCGAATGTTTTCCTTCTGATATCATAGCTCCTTCTTTCTGGACCGTTCTCGCTGAGAGAAGGGCATTTGTTACAAAAGGCTGCACAACAACATCTGCCTGTCAAATGACATCGTCTGTCATCTCAGAGCGTTGTTCCAGATCAAAAACCCGTGACTGGATTTGTTCTTACTGCTGTAACAGTGATCGATGCAATTACTATGTGCCTGTAAGTTATTTTACTAGCTATCACATAAAGTATACCTTTAAGAAAGCAATAATACTTGTTAGACAAGTATCTGATTTGAAAATAATGTAAGCAAAATTAGAGAAAAAATGAATAAACCTATTTGTGTTTTGACTTTATGAGCAATGAAAAAACATTAATTCTCTTTATGTTTGATTTTACAACTACAAAACACATATGACGTATGAAAATATGAGTACCGTTACAGTTAAATTTTTACCATTAATATCTGTCTCATAATACTGACATCAAATAACACATTCGGAATTGAATTGGGCTAGAGAGTAGAAATTCCAAAACACAAGTTGGTATATATTGCAAAGCACATAGTTGCCAGTCTAAACGTGTTGTTACGGTTAGAAAAGCTGAGCAAAATTTGAGTTAGATTTCATCATTAACAAGTAAATGTTATGGATGAGTGCCCATATTTTATAAATATGGACCAGTTCAGTGGTGAGAAGCTTAATTGCGGTTTCTATAATTTCCCGGAACTTATTCTAAGGATTTTCCTGTGCCATGATTCCCAAGGTTCACCGTGTATTAAAGTTGTACCTAAAATTTATCAGATACATTTAATTATACTATGCACACATAAGTTATTGCATGCTAAACATAATTAGAAATGTACCTTTTCTATTCTTCAAAATATCGAGCTAACTTCATCATATCATTTGATGCATAGTGACCATAAATGTCACTAAACTTACCCCTTATAATGTACGGAAAGTATAAATGAGCCTGTTTCATTTCAGTGAACTCTAAATATTGTTTATCTCTTTTATAAAACATTTTGATGTTTACACGCTCACGCTTAAATATTTTCGAAATCTTATGGTTATTTGCATGAAAATGTCTTTATTTTTGACGTAGGGAGGCGCACTACGAGTATGGAGTCCTCATACCTATACAACATTTTTCATCATCTGTCTGTGTAGCATATTTTGGAAATTTGTATGATCCTATAAGCAGTTGAAATAACTGTGGAAACGTAAGTAAATAGTCACATTTTATGAATACAAGTTTTCCGAAACGAAGCAAATATGTTCTTTTAACTAATTAGTCAACCACTGTTTTGCTGTATAGAGCTCACACTTTGCAATACAATGTTATAAAATAAGAACCTCAGGATAACCAAACTTTTCTCCTTCACTAAAATCCAGGACGCACTTGCTTTTTAAGTCTCACATCACTATCCAGCCTCTTTTTCCTTTTTCTTCGTTGACTGGCTATAAGTTTATTACAGTTACAGATTAATAAGTTGTTGCAAGGAATTTTAACATTCGTTAACCGAAATATAAACAAAACGTAGTGCACACGGAAATAAACCTTAATTAACATCTTTTGAATTAAAAATATGATAAACTCCGCAGATTAATGAATCGAAATTCGAAGCCCGATATATAAGTTAATTAACTTTACGGGATAACTTGTTTCGTAAAAACAACCACAGTAAGTAAAAAGCTTGTATGTTTGCGTACTACAATTGCTACAATCCTTTGTTCACAAAGCTGTTGGGTCCAGCTAACCAGTCCCATATGTCTGAATTTATTCTTGATAATGCAAAAGACTGGGATCGATTAGTATAAAAGATCATTTCAGAGAAGATAGTGAAACCATAACTACAGAAAACAGATTAAAATCCATACTGACAGAACAAGCTTTTAAACAACTATAATGAAATTCTAATCACTCATTGCTCGGCAGATTATGTCTTCTGAAAAGACACCACCCAGTCTAGAGAACATAACATCTTCAAAAACAAACATTCTATTATGGGGATCGGTTGCTAAAATAAAGTCACTGTCAAAATATCTTAAAATGAATGTAAGTGGTTATCAATATTTCTTAGGCGAACCGTTAAAAGTGCATAACCTTGGCTAAACTCATTTCTCCGGACATTATAGTCAAAAAAAATTTAAGGTTTAGAGAATATCTCTATCCCTAATGATCTACAGTATTCTCTAGAAAATAAATCCATTGACAAGCACAATTCATGTAAAACAATATTTGCCATCCCGTTATACGAATTTTGGTTTAGTTTTTCATTCAGACACTGATTCGTTTTACTCTTTGTATCAGAATAACTACGTGATTAGATCATGTTGATCTGACAGATATGTCTACATAAAATACCTCACTGATTTAGTTTCTTTATTGAAAACAGAATATATTTGCTGTTCAAACTGTGCAGTTGAAAGTTGGGTAAAAATATGAGTTGCAGTGTTCTGTTCATAAAGTTGTTGTAAATACTGTACATATATGTGCATTGTCTGAATGAGTTTAAAAATCTTTTTTTTAGATTTCACGTCAGAAAATCGTTCTGTTGTTGAACATCAAAATACTCAGCATCCCTTTTTTAAAATAAATATGAGTGACATAATACCTATTAACAAACATATAGATATAACTAATTTGTGAGCATTAGTTGTATAAATGTGACCATGTTTAGCCAAATAACTACATCGATTAGCACTGTGCATTACACGGAAAACCATCTTTATGAAAATAAAAAAGAACAAATCCTTTTATCCTTGTAACTTTATTTTCAGTAACAAAATTGTATATTCTTTAAAACATTGTAAATATAACAAGCACATTTCTTGAATATTTCATTTACAATAATAATAAATTTCAACTGTTCTTCAAACTCTTGGTTTTTTATGTTGTAGAGTAAACAGCGGTTATTTTCAAACAGCATAGTCTAATTTTGTTAATACTGATCAACAAAAACTTATAGCTAGTCTCTTCACCTCACTATGAGTAATGTAATCTTCCTAACACTTAGTTCTTAGGACCATGTCTCTTGTGTAATCATACACTAAAGGATGTGAAAGTTACGTCATAAGGGACGCTTTGTACTAATTGTGTAGATTGTTTGAAAAAAATACACGTTGAGCATAATTCACGTAAATTAAGGCATACCCAGGAATGTTTTGATTATCTCTCAAGGTCCTCCGTATAACATGAATTTACTGATGTACGAATTGTCCTGTTTTCCCAGACAAGTTACTTTTGCGTAACGGCATTCCAGCCGACCAATAACGGAGCAAGATATTGCAGTCCAAATCGACAATGTAAGAGCTCAGTAGGCTTTTTCCAAACATTATTTGTGCCATGTAAATGAGTTTCCTAAACGAACGCTTCCTCATATTACAGGGTAAGCCCGTTTCGAACACAGAAAAACCTGTCATTCACGTCAAGCCTGTACACCTGTCTTTCATTAACAAACCCAATATAACCATCTACTAACATCCGATTGGCTAAAATCTCTTCAAGGTCGAAGTTGTATATTGTAGTCTAGACCATTTAATTACTACAATACCTTTTCATCCGACGAGAAACAACCTAATAGTTCATGTCATATAGTGTTACTGATTATGTTTATTTACTCCCGATATGACCAGTCATGACTTCGCATCAAAATTCCAAGAGTCGCTCTTGAATTTATTATTTCTGAAAGAAATAATAATTGAGTAATCATACAGTACTATATTGTCACTAGCCCCGCTTTCAGGATTGTATATTTGAATGAATGGTAAGTTCTGTTTTTGTTTATGAAGTCTCTATAGCAATTATCATTTATCTACATTAAACAACACAGAGATCCAGGCAGAATTTTAGTAAACAAGAAACCCAGGAAAGGTGTCTGTAAAATCATTCTTATCATGTAAATCATACCATGTTTTTATTTAGGATAGTACAAGAAATACTTATAATTGTTTCGTATTATAGAAGCTAAATGTTATGACTTAAATATAGAAATTCTACTGGAAGATAAATACTTGCAAGTTTACTCGCCCAATATTAAACAACTTGAATTTATGATGAAATAGTGTTATAATGTGAAATGATACTTTCACAACGACGTGGTATTTTAATATTTACAATTTCCCTCAAAATTTGATCACAATGAACATGTAGAACTGTTATTTACTAAGACATCTTATCAATACTAAAAAATTACAGCATTTGTAATCTTGAAGATTTCTCTGAATATATACTTTTTCTTTTAAGCAAATAAACAGCATTGAGACACATGAGCTGATTGTAGTAGAAATTCCTTTTTAGTACTATTTAAATCTAAGAGTATAGTTTTAACTCCTCAATATTTAACTCAGAAATATATACAATCTAGAAAATAATCAGAAAAAGCTCTAAGACATGTTTATTTTAACTGATAACTTGGACGAATAGTAAAGTCTCCAACCGTAGATTAAGATGTTTATCTAAAGGCTCGTATCTTCCGACATATAGAATCAGTCCAAATGTCAATAACTTTATGAATTGATACCGTGACTTTTACAGATCACCTCTTAATAATTTTTTCTTTCTTCCAACCGACTTTTCTATACCTGTTAGCACTGTACGTCGAAGTATCAACCCTGACTTATATCTACACATACTAAAGCCATAAAACATGATTGTTAATATTCCTTCACTAAATTATCACTACCAAATCAGGGTACATTTTAATAGCGCCAATAAAAAAAAGACTATTTTCTTTAATTGTGTAACATTGGATATAACAAGTATCGTATGATCATCAACAAAGAATTAGAATATTGTGATTAATTTAAACAAGAATTAAGATGAACAATGAAAATTATTAAAAAAAAGATAAACACACATAAAAAACCAGTAACAAACACTTCGACAAAAATAAAATGGGATATTTCTGTTAGGAAGTTTCTAGCTTCTATAAACAAAATTCAATGTACAGTTAACGCCATTAGGTCGATTTAAAACAAGTAAACTGTATTGTTTGTTTGTTTGTTTTAAAGAAAAATTATTCACCATTTAAAAATCTTTAATAAAATATATTAGATACTGTAATAACTACGGATAACATGAAGTTAATCATTTAAATTTACAAAGTATAATAGACAAGTCAATTCTATATAACTGAGTATACTGTTTTCATAGAAAATATATACACAACCATAAGAGTGTCTTTTTCATTTATTCAAAATCTGGAAAGGAATTAAAATAATTTATTATCATATATATATATATATATATATATATATATAAACATTTGGTAGAAATAAACTGTCTTAATTAAATGCTTTCTACATACAGGTTGGGGGAAATCTGAAGGGGGCCAGACCAAAACATGACACAAATCCATGAAGTCACTGACATGTGGACTGAGCCATTTTGGTAGGGAAGACTAGCTGGTTGGGATTTGCAACCGATGATTAGAGACTTTGCAATGGCGTAGGTGCATCCACTCTTTGTGTTCTCCTAAATTCTAATATTCTGCATTTTTTTATGTCCCTTCTTTTTTTCTCTTACCAAATTTATTGCACTGCATTATACTCCTTGAAGAACATCTTCAAATGTAAATCGTTCCGATGACTGCTTAAAATTTTACTACCTCTACTACTATGGGATTTGAATCGACAATTGTATCTCTGTGCTAATGTGGTATGGCAACTCGAACTGATGTATGTACATACGAAGCTCTACGTTGTTACTGACAGACTAACCTACCTCATTTAAAAGATTGAAAAGTGATGCTCATTTTACTAAAAACAGAACTCAGTTGTCTAAGCTACACATACTCATAGTGTAGTGAACGAGAACATAAGTGAGGACAACCAAATGCATTTGAAAACAAAATTACAGAAGATCTTACTAAAATCTGAGAATCATACAGTAAATACTTCATTTGTAAAATATCAATTAATTGTCTCAAACTTGACTGTTTCTTTTGCAAATACTAATCAACCGTCTGAGACTTTATTGTTCCTGCATTTTCATACCAATTACTTTCTGTTCACGTTCTTTCCTTCTCGACATTCTGCTGCCAGACATTCTAATCGTGACTATCGTTATATATTACTCATCATGTTGATATAAGTAGCACATACCACAATGGCAGTACATGATGGTTAATGATACTACTACTACACAACTGTTTAGATTGAAATAGATATGTAAAAGGACTTGAATTTGCAATTTAACCGTCTAAAATTGAATGCTTTTTAACTGTTAAGCCATTATTTTAAAACAGAATGAGAAATAAATTCAAATTCCGGTTGATTGAACTACTAGCACTATAACTACAAAATCAGTGTACAGCAAACTATCAGTCAATGTGTAATAATATGATGAGAATACTTAAAAATTTACTAATATTCCCATGATTAACCTTTAAAATGACCAACATAATTTACATTGCACAAGCTACAACAAGTTGAATAATCAATTCAAAAGATCAACGATAATAGAAAAGTGATTATCCGAGATGTTTTCTCATGTCTCTAGTTGTGACATTTAGTGGAATCTGAACAAATGTAACTATCCTGACTGGTGTCACAACTAGTAATGAGAACTAAATTTACAGTTTTCAACTCACTACTTTCAAATGAATATCATCAAAGAGACAGTATAAATCCACAATTTATCATGATATTCTAATATCATTTCATGTTTAAATTATCTACATTAATCTGAGTAGTTAATGCTCAGTGTACAATCAGTCTTCAACGAATGCGAGGTTAATCTTGAAATATAACATTTTTCTTAAAATACACAACAATTACTCTGAGCTTGATTGGTTTAATCTTCAAAAAAAAACGCACAAAATTGTAAGCATGTCTAGTGAGTGTGAATCTTCACAGACACAGAAGAAAGAAATGTACGAAGTACGGGAATGGAGAAAGAGAGAGAAATTCAATCAACTTACAAAAAAAGATACTTTTTGCATTGGGATAAAATAACTCAACAGGACATTAATGAGCTTTTCTTTTCAATCAATTCCTTTTTCGTGATCGACTAGTAGTTACTTTAGGGTTGATCGTCATTGGTAGATTACTATTACGATTATTACCGAGCTTACCAATCGAAGAAGTTGGGTTATTATCTTTTGATTGTTTACCTTCAGTATTACCAACGTCAGCTTTCATATTTTTAAGTCTATAATCATTATCAACGTCATTACCATTATCATCGTTGTCTTCGTTCTCTTGATCGAATAAATATAATCGACGAAATTGACGTTTATTATTTTTTGAATTGGATATTGGTGCATCGAATGGAGGTTGATTTTCATCACATCTAGAAAAATAAATAAACAAATTGTAACTATGCATGAAATACCATGACCAATTATTTTTCCAAATGTAATCATCGATCATTATAGGTGATGATGTGAGCACATACAAGTCACGCAGCATAACCATGATTACTGTGTTGAAGGAGTTGGCGATGACACTAGGAAAACAGTATTTGTATGTGATATGTAAAAATCTGCAACAGAAAATTCTCAGTATCTGAGCTGATGCTAATATTCACTCAATAAAATCCATTTACACAGGTCTAATTTGTCCGTAAATGAGCGACCCGGGTATCCTCAAGTACTTGGTTAGCATCACAATTCTTGACCTGGACGGGATTCAGTTGATGACCGCACCTAAGTTGCAATTAGTTTCAGCATAGAGATGACAGATTGATATTACTTTCTTTGTCTGTCGCTTTCTTATTCAGTAACGAGTTTTAGCCTGATAGCATAGAAATATTTTGATAGACGAAACAATCCATTCTTTTCGCTTCCATTCGAGTGTCTGATGTGAAAAGATCCCTCAATACGTGCATGTGTGAGAGCCAGAATTACGAAAGACTTAGAGATTCTTCTATGAAATTGAACCTAAACGAACTAAATAGACGATTTTTAGGACAGATTTAATATTCCGAAAGGGTGTCAAAATTATGACAGAACAGCCCTGTCTATTGTGGAAGTAAATATTGAACCCTCATATGCATTAAAAATAGAAAACTAAAAGCGAGAAAAACTAATCAGACATCAATAACGGTCAATGCATAAATGTGAAACTGGAAGTTATTGATGACATATTTGAATAACAGAACTGCTATTTAATTAAAAGAAATGGATAATTTGAAATCTTCTCAGTAATATGAAATATCATTTTAACTAACCAGTTGAAGAACATAACCACGGAACTATTTAACCGAAATCGTTTGGACAAGTATCCTAAACACAGAAGACAGTACAGAAATATCAAGAAAACTCTATTCGTAATAGCTGGTCACTAAAAGCAGATTCATGTGTTATTCATAGTTTTTAGGTTGGCTAAATCTATTATGCACTAATGATTTGAAATGAATATTCATACCGTTTACATTGACTACTTACATCTACCGACTCGGTTTAAGAGCCGGATGTCTGCATTAAACTTTATACGTGAAATATTGGAGCACTATAACTCTATGGTTAAAGCTATAAACTTTTAACGAGTTGTGGATGTAAATTGCCGCGCTTCATAGAATTTGGTTTTCATACTCTTTTTACAACTAAATTGTATGTAGATAAATCTTTACTACGTGAATGATGATTTTGATTAGATACAAATTTATATTCTTTCTTATTACTATGAGTATTGTCATTACAAACTGCTTTAATAGTCTTCTAATCTAACTCTCGATTAACCTTACATTTTTTACTATCTGTTAAAACCAAAAACAAGCTTACATTGGAGTCAAGACAACTGAAAGACGACGGTGTTCATCTACAATATTATTATTCTTTACAACAGAATAGAGTTTATCATCTTCTTGTTGTTGTAATTCACCAAGAACAGAACGTTTCCTTGTCGTCATCGCCATCTTGGCAGTGGTATCTTTCTGGGCTTCAGTGTTTGAGTTCACTTGTTGTTGTTCTTTATGCTTAATGCGTAAATCATTTAAAGTAGGCGGAAGAACAGATAGATCAGCAGTTCGATTCATTGATAAATCGAAAATATTCTACAATTAAATTGTAATTTGAGATGATGAAGAAATTAAAGGTTGGAGAGAAAGATAAAAGTGAAAACCATGTTATAATGATAATAATAAACAGAAATATTAAACACGATTTAAATTAAAACATACAAAAGTGGATTTTTTTTATTGAGACCATGAGCCAATTACCGTTAGACCACGACCGCAAACCTGCGAGCGCTAAACGGCCGCTTCGTACTAGTAAGGGACTCTTCAACAGTGCGCACCTACAATCCTCTAGACAGGACTCGAACCCGATAACTTCGGTTTCACGCGAACGCTTAACTTCGAGGCCACTGAGCTTGCATCTAACAGTGTTTAACTTTAGTTAATCAGGTCACCTAAGCTACATAATACTTAGAATCTCATCTAAAATTGATTTATTGCAAGAATGATCGTTACATGTCAATATGACCCTGTCTAATCAAGCCCAACTTAAGAGTATCCAAGTACAGATATTATTCCTGTAAAGTTAGTGGATGTTAAATTTTTAATCCCATTAGTTATAACTTGTAGCCTGAGTGCCCTGTTAATGTATAACGTAACGATACCGCCAATTAGAAAGCAGTGAATTATCGATCGGACCAAGGACGCGTAAAACCCGTACAAGCAGTCTAGAGTCCTGATTAGTCCTGCTTTCCGGCTAGCCCGGCCAGTTAAGTCCACAACACAAATCTCAGCCTCTGTGATATGAATCGTTTATTCCAAGCATACTGGGTTCATATACCAACCAGACAGACCACATCGTACCAATAAAATAGGAAACAACATTTATACAAGATTTGGCCAAATGTGGCTGTGAATGTGGGAGGTAGTAATCAATACACAGGGCATGATTCAGGAATGATATATCGTATAATAATAGTTCATAGGTCAAAATAAAGCTTACAATAAGAGGGACATGAATATGAACACTTTAATTATTTAACAATTAAACGATAAAAATATACGTATAGTATTGGTCCACAAATAAATCCCTAAAGTTACCATTCATTATGCTTATCGGGACACAACAGTTATACATGAAACTCAGCGATAATGTGAAAGCACCCGGTGGTTCAAACATAGTGGTACAGTTGGAGTGAGGTTTAGAATTTTTATGACTGAATGTGTACAATAAAAATTGGCTTGAAACTAAGAGCCGGAAATCCCATTACAAATACACACAAATGTGATACTCATTTTCAGATAATTTAATTCAACGGCCACTGTAGTAACTAGATATTATAATTCATGCATCTGGCTAGTTGTATGACTTATCGCTCGGTTTTTGTCAACTTGCGTCACCTGTGGCGTGAGATTTCTGTGTAGCAATTGAAGGACAAATATACTGTGAAAGTTTGTTTAATTTTACTTAGTGGCTGTGTAAAGTGGGCTTTAAAAATAGAGGATACTTGTAGATTACTAGTATGCGATCATTGATACCTTCAGAACATTGTTCACGTCCAATGGGATCACCTAACCAATAATACTGAAATTAAAACACAGCACCTTGTTAAGATGGTAAATTGGTTGGTGAATTAGTGAGACTTTCATGGAGTAATACGTTCGGAATATGATACATATGACCAGGCACCATCTAATTCAACGCGCGACTTTTGTTTATATAATAGTTCGAGAGAAAGCTAGGGGAAAACCCAACCAAAACCTAGTATCAATTCATAAAGTCATTGACAAATGGACATAGCTGTATAAGTAAATGTTTACTTCCTGGTTGGAGTTAGATAATATGATTTAAAATCTGCCTCAATTACACAGATACACTCACTATTTGTTTCTTCTTGAATCACATTATCTATGACTAATCTTTTCTATTACTACTTCTACAGCCCAGATATATCTCTTCATAATTCCATTTCACTGTGTTGATATATTGCAACAACCTGAATCGATACAAATATGTTTCATGTCCAACTTTTTAATGAAAAAAAATAGAAAAATGTTAATCCTATAAGAAAGATGATTTAATCAAACTTATTTTGTAAGGGTCAGTTTTATATTAAATACCAAGAAGAGAAAGAACTTACCACTGTTTTAATTTCCGTTCCAACTACTTTCGACAATTTTTTAAATTCATTACTATTCACATCTTTGTTAGTCTTCTTACTATTGGTACTATTAATATAAGCAGTAGTAGTAGTAGTAGTAGTTTGAGGTTTTGATTTCGATCTTGACTGTTGATTGATTGTCGTTGTTGGTAATTTCGACTTGGATCGAGTTGTCTGTTTGTCACTGACACCAATCGTTGATGATGGATTGACATTTTTTGAATCAACTCTAAATACAAGTTCACCAGGCCGACGGAAACAGGTTTCAATGACTCGGCCACTTCCATCCTCATCGCCACCAACAACACCAATATTACTTTTTAATTTATCACCTTTAATGTTGATATCATTTTCACCTTCATCATCACTATCCCTGACACGAATCAGGCGATGTTTACCTGATTTTTTCTTCTTTTCTTTTGTTGTTGTTTTAACAATAAACGATTCCATAAAAGATGATGTGTCAATGATTGGTTTTGAATTTAGTCGAGCTTGACGCACCAGATGAGGTCGAGCTGACTGCATTTCATGATGATCAACAGAGTTAACTACACATTCATTGTTCTTACCATTGCAACTATTGACAAGATTAGGAACGACCAGTTGATCAATATTCTTTGAATCAATAACGGAAGGTTTATTATTTACAGAAACACACGATTGTGGTAAACTTTGAACTGAAAAATGTACAGGACTAATGTTTTTGTAGGTATCCTCAATATCATTATCATTGTCTAAATCAACATTATTTACATTAGTATCTACTATTGGAGGACATCTTTTGCTTGCAATATTATTTTCAGAAATACAAGTTATTGGACTAGTCAGTATTTCAGGTAAAACTTCTTCACAAGATGGTTCTACTACCATTGTTGTTGTTGTTGCAATGAAAATGATTTTTTTAACAAAAAGAAACAGTGATAAAGAAGTCATTAAGAATTTAAGATCACTAGAAAATGCGATCATAAAGAGCATAGAAACAAAACCTGCGTAAAATGAGACCACTGAAAGTAAATCGTTGATCATTAAAATGTAATGGTAAACACAAAAAGAGATAGACACAGTATTAATGATATCATATATTTTGCAATAAATTTTTTCAAGTGATTTAATTATGCATCTAGTTAAATACACAATTCTTTCTACTCGACCTTTAATAAGAAAACTTACAGTCCATCTTACATGGAGCTGTTTAACAGCAAAATTCAAATCTTAACACCACAATGGGTAGAAGTATATTGTCCATTTTGTTTACACTTCGGAGAAAAGACTAGTGATTACAATGAAGTTCATGTATTGAACATATTATTAACAGTAAACTTAGTTAGGAACGTTTGTAGATGATGGTGATGGATGGGAACTAGTCACAGTTGGAAAACTTTTTTTATACTCACTTTTTTATACTCACAGGTTAATTGTATGCATAAGACAAGAATTTCGTTGGGAATATTACATATTTTATACTGAGGACTCCTTACTGTAATCAAACACTCTATATTAAACAAAGCCATTTTAGTAATGGTGGTTAATTATAGCTGATAAGGTTATAATTTAAAAATTAAGAAGGTTTGTACACAAAAACTAGAGTGCTATGCCGGTTGATTAATTATAAATCTAAAGAAGAACCTTAGACTATAAAAAATAAGATGGTCAGAATACTTTCGACGAGTTCAAAGATTTCTATTTGAAGTTCACATGGTTATAGTCATTTATGTTTGGAAGGAATACAGTGAGATATGACTCATAAAATTATTCACCATGATTAAAATACATTAATTTTCATTTTCTTTTCAATTATAAGCTTTATATATCATTCGTCTAAACATCTTATGAACTGATTTCATCCACCCTCTTAATGTCTAGTTTCTTACTGAAATTGGAAATCATTTAGTTAGCCATACAGTAAAGTAAAAACCTAGCATACATGTTTAACATGAAATAAGAACGATGATGACCATCAAACTAGTATAGAAGTAGTAATGGTATCAGTGGTAATAGAAAAGATTAGATATAGGCACTATGATTCAGACCACACATACACTAACATGGTTCAGTCCAGTAGATAATCTCTTCATTTTTCTGCATCATTTTAATTTTAATATGAATCATCGAAGTGAGCACTACTGTAACAAATGAAGACTTGGGTGGAGATAAACCAATTTATTGTATTATGCGAAATCATAGTGTCTTTGTAAAACATGAAAACAATACATTAAATATATGTGAAAATTATATTTGAAATAGTCTCAGCGATTGAAATATAACTAATTCCAACGTTTTGTCCAGCTAACTTGTCTGGACTTCACATCAGGGTAATAATCAAATAAATATATAGCTTTTTAACAATCAGGATTATACTGTGTCAAATCAATCATATTTGGATGTTGATTTTTTGTAAAATAGGATAGAATGAGTAAGTTAACTACAAATCATGTGAAGAATTCAACTACACGGAAATACTTAATTGAGTAACCAAGTTGTATGTGTGTGAGTGTGTAGTTATGTATGTATGTGTGAGACATTCATATGAAGGAATAAATAAAGTCCAAGGATGAAAAATTGATAATGAAACATGTCAAAACATAAATTGTATTGTAAGCAAAGATGGATAGTGGCTAGCAGTGGAATCCAGGACGCGCGTTTCGTCCTGTTTGGGACTCGTCAGCTGGATGTACCTGCATCTCAGAGTTGATGTTCACTCTGGGACTCGAACTCAGTACCGTTCGCTTCAAACGCCATCGCGTTATCCACTTAGCTACTGAGTCCTGATAGCCACTTGCTTGTGCAATGGATTGAAGTTTAATTCACTTGATATTGTTTTATTTGAATCTTCCCATTGATGTTTTTTGGACTGAAATTGATCAGTCTCTTATTGGCATATGTGCATACTGTGCGTATGCCTCGATATTGCCTTAATTTACAAGCATTGTAAGCAAAGATGGACGAGTCCCAAACAGGACGAAACGCGCGTCTTGGATTCCACTGCTAGCCACTATCCATCATTGCTTACAATGCTTGTAAATTAAGGCAATATCGAGGCATACGCACAGTATGCACATATGCCAATAAGAGACTGATCAATTTCAGTCCAAAAAACATCAATGGGAAGATTCAAATAAAACAATATCAAGTGAAATAAACTGTATTGTTTAAAATACTCATTGAGTTCTTTCAATAATAATAACGATGCATGTGATACTAAAAACAGGTTTAAACAAGAGATGGGTTCCAAATTTACTTGTCAAACGAAATTTGCCAGGTAGTTGCCAGTTGAATATCATCTTTTCGGTTCAGGCCATTCTTGTTCGCCCATATATGCAGCGCTTCTGTTGTCAATCTTTCTTTATGGGTGTTAAAACCTTTCTGAAGTATTTTGGTCCCTTCAAAATTAATCTTGTGTCCTGTTTCTAACGCATGTAACGCTATCACTGACTTATTTTCAAGTTTCTTTAAATCGACCGAGGATTTTGGAACATTTTTCAAGCATTGTTTGTGTTCCTTCAATCTTACATTCAATTGCCTGGATGTTTCTCCAACATAGGTAGCATTACAGTCATGACAGTGAATCTCATACACAATGTTCTGTTGTTCTTCCTTTGCTAACTTGTCCTTAACTTTCACTAATGTCGATCTTAATGTGTTATTCGCTCTAAAATATACTCTTATATCATGTTTGTTTAGAATCCGTTTGATTTCTTCTGATGTTTCACTACGGTAAGGTATGACTACCGTGTACTTCCATTCTTAGGAAGTTTGAAAAACTATTGAAACATTCATCACACCTTAATACTACTATTATTATTATTATTATTATTATTATTATTATTATTATTATTATTATTATTATTATTATTATTATAAGCAATGTATCTTTTTTCGTTATCCTGTTAACTGTCTTTCTTGTTATGCAAATAGTGAACAAATATATCAGGTTCTACATTACTATTTATGAATGAAATTAGGACAGTCTCTTTGCAGTTTACAAACTTTTAAAGCGTAAGAAGTTATCAACTGGCATATAACAATCTTCGACGATTAGATATATGAGATAAAATGGAGAAAAAACTAGTCATATTAATCCTATAGCATCCGATTGATATTTTAATTAGATTACAGGTATATCATAAAGAACATAGCCAAATATTTCCCACTTCAAACATTCTAATTCTAACAAACATGTTAATAGTTTATATAGAAAACTAAAAATTTCACCAGTTATGTAACACTTAAAAATAATGCCATTCAGTTATTCATAAAAGAAATTGATGAAGGAAAGAGTGGATTTCTATATGATAATAATAATAATAATAATAATAATAATAATAATAATAATAATAATAATAATAATAATCAATTTACTGTCATTAAGACATCCCACAAGGGAGGGATGTACTTCGCATATAAATTATAAAACCAAGTTTAAACTACATCGAATATTTTCATTATTAAAAGAATAAACCTTGTTAATAAGAAATAATATTAAATTTGAATGGTAAGAATAGCCAATAACTTACGTGGTTCCTGACGGATAGACTGTGATGATTTTACGTCAGTATTTAATGTTTCAATAAGAGGTATCGGTTGTACCTAGAAAAAAAAACTTTTTCCAAATGAAAATGTCTCATATAGAATAGTTGATGGTGAAAAACTATATCTAAAGGTCAAACATCAACAACGTATGACTTGGTGCAAACATGTCAAAACAGAAGTTCGGTGATCAAATGATAATACTCTAGTTCTTTATAAGAACTAAATGCATTGCTGTAGAACTCGAAAGTAACTATATTGTAGATCAACTATACCATCCCATCCAAAGTAATGACTTTAAAACATGGCTTACAATAGATGTTACTGCTATCGTAAATTTAATAACTTTGCAAGTTGCAGATGCTTTAGGTCAGCCATTCATGAATGTTGATCCTGAGAAATAGGTTACGTCACAATTTCAGGATTCCTAAAAAAGATTCACAGAAAACTCGTATCATCACAGTAATGATCAATCACACAGCTCATATGCTGAGAAGTTTTATAAATATTCATTCGTGACTCACTCTGTAATTACCAGTGGAAGTAGTATTGCATAACAAATTTATCTTATGTTTATTTATCTTGATTTACCCTTTAATAATTTTTTATTGCTTGAAAGAGTGAATTGGTGGAGTTCAAATCTATGTTGAATATTACCGAATTTACTGAACTGTTAAATCAAATCTCAACTCAATTATACAACGCTTGTAACAGACGGTAACTTTGCCTAAGTTAACCAATTATTAGTTATGAATAAGTATATATTGTTAGAGTCACGTTCTGTGTAATCCAATTTGGGTGAACGAGTAGTATTAATGATCTTCACAAAATAGCAGAATAACTCAAAACTGAATCCACAAATTTGTACTTGATAGATGAATTACCCTTTATCCATAGATTCTTAGTTATGGGGTATTAATAAAACTAACCAATAGCAATTACTTAGACGACTAGCATTCATTGATCATGACTAAGCACTTGGACACAGTTCATTTAAGTGTGAATATCATTAGTTTTATTTATTGTTATGTGTCTACATGTTTCATTATACCATATTCTACTTGACTAAATATTCCTATTTGCTCTAATTGTATTGTTTCTAAAGACCAACTTTCAAATGTTTTACGTACAACAGTTTTAGTTTAGAATGTGCTATAAAAAATATATATGTAGGCAAAGTACAGTCCACGTACATGTTACGTATAGGTGTTAGTGATGCGACACCATTCACATATTCAAACTACGAGTAGACTAAATCAGTAACAGTATGATGAACTGATGAAGCAGTCACGTTTATAATAATAATTACTAGCTTGGCGCGAAATTCGAAACACGATGACCGATAGTTTATTGAAAACTGAATAAAACCTATCAGTATTTAATTATTAAGACGTCGAAAATTGATAGAATCGGAAGACTAAATAATAGGGATCATGACTTATGAAAATGGCTCAAAGGATCTTGAAGTTTAAAGATGGAAGAAATAACTGTGGAAGCACTTTCTCACTCTTTTCCTTCCTAACTAGACCCAAAATCTAACTCCTAAGCTCTTTGGGAATCTTAAGTAATAAATTACCTATTTATATCACCTACATTCCAATTTTCATTCCATTCTCAAGATCATCTCGAGGGTCAATGAAGGTCCTCAGTAAAGTGTATTTATACCACTGAAACTAAAGAATTTTAAAACCTGATTTATTATCGAAAAAAATTTCAGTCTAGTCAAAAGAATAGGGACGTAAACTGCTGGACAAGCTCACATCTTCAATATTATTGACTGTCTTTTCAATTTGTTACTTCATGTAAAAAGTAAACTTGCATTACTAGTCATTTTTTCTTTTTAACTGATAACTTACATTAAATCTGTTATTGTTACTATGATTAGTGCTAATATTCTTAGCAATACTGTGGTCGTTAGGACTGAATGCCATTTTCACCGGACCTGTTATTAATGAAGTGGATGATGATGGAGATTGAACTTCAGGATAAACAATAGATAGTTGACGAACATTCTGTTCTGTTATCTGTTGAGCAGGCTTTGTAAATTCTTTTCTAACAGTAACAATAATAATAATGTTGATAATATTATTAATAATAATAACAAAGAATAAATGCAACTAATCTTCAAATTTCTCGTTTAATTTAACTCAATGTAACTCATTTACAAAGTACATGTATGTTTAATTTCTTAGTTTTCTGAAGGACAATGGTATTACTACTGTAGTTACCGAAAACTCAGATACGGTAAACCAATTTATTGTTTTATGCAAAACCACACAGTCCCTTCCTAAAATATGAAAATCATACATTAAATACCTCATTTGCAAATCTTTGCATCGCCCTTTATATACTCCATTATTCTTTCAATTCTGTTGTTATTCTGACTGCTCTCCGTCTTCCTTCCTGTTCTATTCATTTCAATTTTCTGCTGGTAAGCATTCCATTTCCTAATCCTGCTACATACTACTTATATCTGTTCACATAAGAGGCGGACATCACATTGCCACCCACCCACGCAAATAGAAGTAGATGAAACAGATTTCGAGCCTACGATTACTGCCACTCGTTAAAAGTTGAGTGCTTTAACCACTACTCACTACTAAGCTACCGTCCCAATACCAAGAAAATTAAGTGAAAAAAAAGACTAGCAAACAATGTCATATGGAGAAAAATATCGGACAGAATTCCATCATAAGACGGACAGACAATAGATATTCTGCAATCTATTTGATGTCAATCTAAAATTATTTATAGTAATCTACAACATTATTATAGCATGAAATAGATGAATTCAAGTTGAAATTAGTTTATTTAATACACTAATTCTGGTACAATTGGGCACTGAAGACATAAGGCATACAAATAAACAATAAGATTGAATAGAAATAAAGTAGGGGATGAGAGCATAGGCAAAAACAAAATAAGTAAACAAAGATAATTTAAGACAGGAGTTACAATTTAGTTAAAAATACAACTAGCAAGGACTTCTTTTAGTAAGGACACACCCTTCAACTTTTATGAAAACTGCAACAGGGTAGCCCTTGGATTTTATTCTGACCCATGTTTGAACACGCCTCAAGCCGCAGGACTACACCACCTTCGGGATTCCAACCGGAGTGTTGTGTTGAACGGACAGATTCCAGTCATATAAAGTTCCTTTTCTTTCATAATGCAGTGCCAAGGCATAAACCGACTATTTCCACACTTTTTATACTCCTCCCCACAGTCGGCAAATAATCCACGACATAGAAGCTTCTGGGAATACATTGTAAAACGTGTCCCAGCTAACAAACCTAGTGTTTGAATATGGTAACACCAAGTGAGGTATCGTCATTGTATCTGAACACACATTATTGAACCTCTGCATTACCAAAATGGTGTTACCACTACGATTCTTTGGAGACAATTATGACCGAATACTTAGTTTTTTGACATCCTCACCTCAGAGAGGCAAGGATTCACAAGCATAGAGCAAAATCCTCACCGACATGTTGTGCGCCATTATTGGAATCAACACAACAATGGAAGAAAATAACAAGTTGAAATAATAATAAACAGTAGCAATAAAGGAAGCAGCTGAAGAGAATATAATCCTAAGAAAAATGAATGAGATCAAGAGATATGACAAAAATATATGTCAGTCGGTCAGTCAGTAACAACGTAGAACTTCGTACGTACGTACATCAGTTTGAGTTGTCACACCACATTAGCACAGAGATACAATTGTCGATTCAAATCCCGTAGTGCTAGGTGTAATAAAATTATAAGCTGTAATCAGAAAAATTGGGGTTTGAAGATGTTATTCAAGGAGTATAATCCAGTGAAATAAATTTGGAAAGAAAAAAAAAAGAAAGGGACATGAAGAATTCAGAAGATTAGAATTTGGGAGAACACAGAGTGTATGCACCTGCGCCATTGCAAACGATTTTGAGCCATGTCATTCAGGGTCTCTAACCATCGGTTGATATCATCCCGCGGTCCCCAACCAGGTAGTCTACACCTACCAATATGACTCAGCCTACTTGTCAGTGACTTCATGAACTTGTGCCATGTTTTGGTCTGGCCGCCCCTAGCTTTCTTCCAACCTACTCCTATACCACTGAACATCGCACATCGAGGCAGTCGGTCGTTGGGCTTACTTAACACATGTCCCAGCCATCTCAACTGATGAAGTTTCACCACTTGATCAATTGATTTGCCATCCTTACCTAGTACCCGTTTCCTAACAACTGCATTACATTACTTAGTCGATGGTCCCAGGATATACGAGCAATATTTCGAAGACACCTATGATCGAATACTAGTAACCTACGGATATCCTCTACTCTTACCGGCCACGTTTCACTGCCATAAAGTAGGACGGAACGAACTGCTGCGCAGTAAACACGTCCTTTGGTTGATAGATGGATATCTCGCCTACGCCATAAATGGCGCAAGTTGGTGCAAAATATGTGACAAAATTTGGAACTCCAGATTTAAGAGATACAAGAAATCATCGCAATCAACTTCAATTTGTGTCACTACCAATAAAGAAGCTCCATCGTAGAAAGCAGATTAAAGTGAATATATGTTCTTTTAATTACAAAGAGTAAGACCAATCATTATCAAGGTGTCAGTCGAAACCTATCGAATTATTGAATTGGCATTTTAAATGTCAGAAATATATTGTTAGGTCAAATTCGTCTTTGAGTTACATCATTGATACTTATTTATTTACAACGATGTTAGAGAGAGTCAAATGATCTAAACACTCAGTTAATGTCGTTAATTCACGTATGCTGATAAGTTTATTACTCAGGAGAAAAAATAATAAACCATCTTAACACGAGAGTACTGTAGGAAAAAAATATTAACCCACACATTTTTATCCAGTCTGTGAAGTCATTGACAGTAGTATCGAAACGTGTAGGTAGTTGCAGACTACCTAGCTGAGGTTCGTCAGATTATCATTGCCTAGGGTTAGAGATACTGAGTAATATGGCTCAGAACTGATCACAATAACGCATATGCATTTATTCTTTGTTTACCCTTAGATAATGAGTTTCAGAATTATTTTATACCTACTATTTTGTGAATTCATTCCTTCCTCTCGAATTATCTCTTTCTAACCCTTTTTGCTACCAATAGTGGCGTTGCTACTCTCTTACTGTTCTGGAACCTATCCTAACAATATCATCTCTCTGTTTTGATATAGTGTGAAAACTTGAACCGATGGATACATGTCTCAGGTTCTAAGTCGTTCGTGACCGACTGACTGTTCAAATGTTATCTTTAATATTCACAAAAACCCTTCTAGTGATATTTCACATAACGAACATATCAGTAGAAAGCACCAAAACGTTTATGGTTCATTAACTGCTAAGCTGAAATAACCCTATACAACCTGATTAGGTCTATTACTGCATAGTGATACACTTCAAAATATTTCACATTAATCTAAAATAGCACATCGAAATTTAACTATATTTATCACACTTAACAAATGATATGGGTATTAATTCTTTAATACACAAAGAACGTATAAATTACTAATTCTATGTAGCATCATTAGTGTCGGTGAACGAATCACATGTGACTATTTCGAAGTCTAAATAAACTATTTATCAAATAAAAGTTTATTTTATCGACTTTCTAGCCATACTTTTTATGAGGACCAGTGAGTTATTGCTGTCATCTATTCAAGATGAAGTACAATGGGCTTTAATCTATCACCGAATTTATTGGAAGTGAATTCCCCATAAATAACTCTAAACCTATCCTCTTATGTTTAAAAGCGCTTTTAATGCCGACTACTTCACGACGAAAATGTATTTTACGATAAACTTTGTCAGAGAATTAATAGAAACAAATAACAATGATAAACTCTTACGGAGCAAGAAATATAAACAATTACCATTTTATCTTACCTACAAACAGAATCAAATGCATTTGGATCAACTACTGTTTCACCAAGCAGACTTGATGTAGGATTTGACAATAACTCCAATGAATCATTTTTATCCAATACCGATATTGAATCTTTCACATAATTCATCATGGACATTCCCATTTCAATTTGTGAACACAATAATTCATGTACGTTTAGAATACAAGCCTAACAATTATTATTTTATTATTTGAAAAAAAAGAAGGGGGAACATGACTACATACAAAAATAATATAAAATTATTTAATAACTTTATCTAAACTAAACAAGAATCGTTTGAAACTCGACAGCTAGATGTACCTGTATCCCAGAACTGATGTTAACGTCGGGACTCGTACCCGATACCGTTTAGCGTTAAACGCCGTGGCGTTATTCACTTAGCTGCCTAGTCTAGATAGTCACTCACTTGTGCAACAGGTATGAGATTCGATCCAACTTGAAACGGGTCGGATTATCCCATTCCAAATAAGATAAGACGTGTATTCTGTATCCCACTGCTAGCCAAATTTTATCTATTCTATATTATCTTGTGTCATAATAGCTATGTAAAGGTAACCTGCACAGTATTCCCATATGCCAACCAAAATTGATCGAGCTTTACTGAAAAATATCAACAACAACAACGGGACAATCTAAACCATTTTAAACTGAAGAACAACATTTGTGAGATGAAATGACTTCATTAGTCAATCTTCAATGCTTCCCATCCACAAGAAGTAATGTAATAATAAAGAGACAAATATTCGACATACTTTTAGTTATGTGAAGTATAAACAAATTTTTAAAACGGAACCGAAAATCATGAACAGATGAATTTAGACAAAAGTCATATGATTTAGCACGGTTAAAACGGATGTGAATTTACATGTTAGAAAAATAGTAATATGGAGGAGAGGAGGTTATGTTATGGTTACTATTAGTCATAATTAAGAGAAAAAAGGATTACGCAATATTAATGAAAATAAATGATTGGACAGATTATCAACAAAATTAGAGCCAATATTAAATTAATATGCAAGCATCAACAATATTACACAAAAATAGATCAGATTGGAAATGTTTGGTAGCTATTACATATGTTAGAAGGGAGAGCGATCGACGTTGGTTGCTTGAAAATGGGTTTGAATTTTCACTGACGTACGCACTATGTCCATTAACTATTAAATGCCTAACGATGAAACTTGTGAAGACCTTACTGTCATCCAGATGAACATTCCTGGATGCGCGTTCGAAAATCTTATCCCTTTGTTTCATGGTTTTTAGTTTCGTTTTGGACACATAACTCAACTATACTAACTAAAGCACATCAAACCTTTATTTATAATTAGACAATTCCTCGTAATTTGATGCTATTTACAGTGGATAAGAAGCCTTAAAATAGATTGACGAATTCATTTTACTCGGTAAATTTCGTTCTTTTTACAATTTTTACAGTTTGTTAATGAATCAATTTGTATAAGATACCTTGATTCTCTCTTTGGCTTCTTTATACGCTTGTAAACGGACTACTTCCATACGACAATTCAACAGTTCAATATTCGCTTGCTGTGTAGCCATCTTCTGGTTATTTAATTCAACTTGCAATTCGGCTAGTTTTTTCGCTAATGAAGCATTATTAGCACGAAGAGAGGTGGCTGAAGTGAAAGATTGATTGACTGTCAAAGAAAATAAAAGTCACAAGTAATCAAGAGGGAGAAAGTAAACAAAACACACAGTTAACCTCGTTGGTATCTACTTTATTAACAAAGTTGGCAGATAAGCATAATAATAATAATAATAATAATAATAATAATAATAATAATAATGTACACGATTGGGGAATTCTACACTAGGATGGGACAGCTGTTCAGAGATCATTGGTTTGCAAGTTATCTAACTAATTTCAGTTCGCGATATAAACTGTAAAAACCAAAACTTCTCACGAACCCTTTATGCTAACAACAGCGATAATTCTCTGAATTATAATTAAGGGCACCTGATTTATCAAACGGAACTTTATATGCTCAGTTTCGAGTCAAGAGCTCTCTTCTTCATCCAAGTCAGTGAGATGAAATTAGCCAGCTATTAAAACTAAAGCAAATAAAACGATTTAGTGTTAATCATTAAACCATGTCTTTAAATTTTGCAAAATGTCTTATTTTGTTCTGTTTGTTTATAAATCGTTGGTGGTGCACAGCAATTGATCAGGTAGCAAAATATTGAAAACAATAGTTAAAAATCATAAAGGATGAAATCTTACATTCTCAACCCCTAGTTTTCTTTCAAACAACTTTTACATCAGTATATGTCGCCTGTCGAAGTAAGCGGTGGTCATTCATACGTAGAAAATGTCTTAAAGACCTCAAGCGGTGAGGATTCACAACCTTATCAACTAATTTTCTGCCTTTGCCTAGCGCTCTATTCCTAACCTCAACGCTAATCAATCCGCTATTGAATGATACGTGGATAATTACACATGAAATAAGACTAGGGGTAGTCAAACCAAGATGTGAAGGTAATGACTGTTGACTGAGTCATATAGGTGGGTAGGCGGAGACTATCTCATTGAAGTCCAAGTGGTTATTGTGACTAATATTTAGATACTTGAGGTGACATGGCTCAAACTCATTCGCAATAGCATATGTGCACCTACTGTCTTCCTTTAGATCCTAAGTTTCTAAATCTCATAAATTCACTTTTATTCCATTAATCCATGCATTAGCATCACTAAAATATTCGAAAGGTCAATGGAAGACATGAGAACAGAGAGAGGAACTGACATAGCTTCATATCACCACCTAGTGGTTTTCAAGATGACACGTAGGCTAAACAAGCACTGGAAAACTGGAGAAACAGCATTACTATGGTTCATTGCAGCTTTCCTTCGTGGTACTGAAAAACTCAACGCATTCAAAATAGCTTACAGCAACTGAATCAAAGCCTTACAATCTCTACTCACAGAAGAGGAAGCTTCTATGGGAAACAACTGGAAAAAGATAGACCTTGTTTGAAATCACACTCGAACATTATCTTCAGTCAATCCTAATGATCTCAAGTTAACTTGATATGTTAACCTATTCCCTAAAGTACTTTCCAAGTGCATCAACATTTCGCCAAATTTTGATTCCTAGTAAAATAAGCGATTACTGGACTACAATTAAAAGTCTTAAGCTTATTTTCTAACAATACATACGCGTAAAAATTCATTATGAATGTCAGGATTGATATATTGGTATTGTTAGTTTACGAAAAACACTGACAAAACTGAGGCAATCGATCGACACTTACCTGACTTTTGCAGTAATCTTCTCGATGTATTTAGCAACCCCCTATTTCGCATGATTCTAACACTGTCATTGAGTTGTGGCTTCTTTGATTTACGAAAGGTGATACTGATATGCGGCCTTGAACCACTCATCATAAAAATTTCAAGTTAAACAAGTAGCAAGGTTGTTGGGTATGAATAAACCCAAACTCAGTTTTCAATATCAATTAATTGATATCTTCATAACCGATGTGTAAAAAACAGTTGATTTCCTGATGTTTGCATCTTTGTGCTAAAGTATGGTTTCAATTATTTCGTTCAGTGAAGATAGTCTAGAGGATAAAAAGAACTGATTCTAATGCAATTCAAATGGTTCAATTGGCTGTGGACGGAATAGAAGCTTTCGCTTGACGGGTTTCCGTGTCTAGTAGAAGTGGATCACCAATACTTTGAGGCAGAAACATAAGTATGTTAACGACAAAAGAGCAAAAAGCAGTTGATGTCATAGTAAGACACTGTCTTTAGTCCTTAAGAATATGACAAGTTTTCTCTTAATGAACTCCTGGGTAGCCGCCTGGACTAGCTCGGCCGGCAGCGAATTCCAGCATTTGACTACTCTTAAGAAGTGGAAGTCGTGTCTACAGTCCGTTCTGTCGTGTTGTGTCTCCAGTTTCTGGATGTTAACTCTTAGGTTTGTGTTGAAGCTAAACATAGATAGGTGTTTAAGGGGATGTTCAGAAAAGTAAAGAATAGCTTAAGCCATTGAAAGTTCACCTCTAAGATGCCTGTACTCTAATGGGTAAAGTTTTAGCGATTGCAGGTGCTCTTCATAAGGCTTGAATCTGAATTCCCGAACTGATTTCGTGGCTCGCCATTGGATACCTTCCAGAGCGCCCTGTCCTTTAGGAGTGAGGGAAGAAATACTATGTTTCCGTACTTTAAATGAGGACGAAGGAAACTGGTGAAGATTAAATAGAAAGTTCTTCCGTCAAACTGGCCAAAAAATGTTCTTCAATGTTATCATTGCAATGTTTGCTTGAAAGGTATTTCTGTTACAGTTAGCGTAAGACTTGAGAGTTATTTGGAGGCCATAATATCCTGAGAACAACGAAAAAGAAAAGCTTTGGATATCTTGACTCGTTATTTACCAGCCTTTTCAATACTGACCTAATAAGCAAGGTTCTGTTATCCGTAATTGTAGATTACTTGATTTGTTGTCTATATTTTAAGAAAATCATATTATTTCATAGATGGTAGAGAAGATTTGTTGATCAGTGGATGATTTTGGTGAAGCTTTGTTCTCTGAGCTGAATTGCTCGTTCTTGGAGCTTTCACCGTTTTTTTAATGGCTTCATCAGCACGAACTTCAGGTTGAAGTGAAGCGTCCGAATTTACTCAAATAGATTCAGACTAAGATTAAGATTACGGATTTGTGTGGTAAGGACGGAAGGCCTATGGCCTATGTTATTCCTTTCCCACTATGCTTCTGTAAGTGTGTAGAGTTATGGTCTACAATGATATTGGTACTGCTCTAATAATAGACCTAATCCTAAAATTGTAGATTTGTCATGATATAACTGCCTAATCTATAAGATATTACGTGGAAGTCACGTCATCGTCTACACCAACTCACTGTGTCGTAACAACTACCAATACACGATGAAGAACAAGTTGGGCTAGAGAGAGAACAATATATTTAATATGAATAAAAGATATAGGGTAATATTCCACAGGGACCACGCCTACATGGCCGAGCCATGCCACCCGATCAACTCCAATTCATTCAACTGTTTGTTCCCGCCTTTTCCATCGTTAGGTATTTCTCTGTGTTAAATATTGAATATCTATTTTCCAAGCAGTCTTGTGTTCAGCTTTGAAGATCGTGTGGTTATGGTCTAATGCCACTACAAGTGCCTGGTCTTAAATGAGTTAATTGAGGGTGCGGATACCACTGCTTCAGGTAACAGGTTTCAAGAAATGATCACTCAGTGTGAAAACCTCTATGACATGTGTATTTTGTTCGTTCTTTACATTTCTATTCGCCTGCTATGTCCCCTGAGATATTTTGACCTAGTGGTAAGGCAGAGAAAGAATTTGTTAGGTATCAAACCATTTCCTAGTATTCTCTACTTTAAAATCAGATCACCTCTTAATCTGTGATAGGACAGAGTAAATTGGTTTTGTTTTTGAAGCCGTTCTTTCTATGGTAACCCCTGAAGTTTTTTGCATTACACATTTAGCTGCCCTTGTACTTTTTCCAGGATATCTGAATCACCTTTTAAACAGGGACTTGCTGCCTGCACGTAGTTATCAAGCTTAGTTGTCACTGACGTTGTGTATACTGTAGTGAACATGGCAGTATTTAACTAGGAGAATATCCGTCTTGAAGCCCGGAGGGTTCTAAGCCCATTAGCTGCAATTTCCTAGCAGTGGACCGTGGTCTTAAGGTTATGACTCACTGTCATCCTAAAATCCTTGTGAGACCGATTCACGGGCACAGGCACTTCCCTGTGCTGTATCTATTTACCTTCGTATCTAAAAATGCATGTAGACACACTTGCCCGTGATGATAGACATAAGCCGCCTTTTGCATTAGTTAATCAGAATATTTAAGTCTGTTGAGGTGCGCATGCATCTGTGTCTCCCGATATTTCTCGCCAGATTTCTTACACCATCAATGTATAGTAGAACTGGGGACTCAACGATGCCTGGAAGTTCATTTACATACAGTACAAAAAGTAAAGAACGTAGGACAAAGCCTTTCCATATCCCAAGTGAAGCATTTGGAATTTATTATTACTTTCTGTATACGACCTAGAAGGAGATCGTTAAGCCATTCTAAGTGGGGTCTGGCAATACCTAATTTTTTTAACTTTAACAGCAGTCTATTTGTTGGTACCGTGTGAAATGCTTCGCTGAAGTCTATGTAGACAACATCCATTTGTTTCCATTGTCTAGAGCCTCAATTAGTTGCTTCACTGCTATAAGGAAAGACATTAGAATCAGTATGTCAGTAGCCCCGCCAGATATCAAAATGTAATAGACTTAGTCTTTAACAGTGGCCTCAACTCCAATACTGTGCATATCGGAAAGACGTTTCCAGGTAGCGTTCATAACCTTGTCATATGCAGCCTTAATATTAAAACCATAACCGGTAGTCGTAAAAATGTAGCAATACGTAGAATCTACCACAAGGTCGATTGAAAAAAATCAAGAAGCACTGATCAGGGAACCCTCTTTACTGTAAGCAATACCTACAAACTGACTAACATATCCTATCACAACACTAAAAATATCTTCAAAAATATTGTACCTCTAGAATACAGAAGACCTAGTGTAGGATCCAAACTACGGTTTGGATGTTGAAGAATAGCCTACCGGGGACTTTAGACACGCACCCTTTCCCGTCGAAATCAGAACAAGTAATCGGGTAACTAGCGGTTCTATAATTCATAATAAATTTAAAGTAAATCATTACCTAAACAAATATTATCACCCGGCTATTCAACCAATGATTGTTCAATCAATTAAATCTGAATTACAATAAATAAAGAAGTTGATAGAAGATGAGGAAAAATTACCAATCACAACAAATGAATGTTATTCTATCCTGACTGGATAGATCACACACAACAGGAGGAACAAATCAATATGGCTACCGCCAAGAACAAGTGTCAAGTAAAACAACGCAGATGCAGTTCAGGAAGAAACACAAACTTAGTGAATGCGTAATAAAAACAAAACCTATAACAAAAATACAAATATTAAAAATTCAAATGTAATCAAAATACAACAATGTACAACTAATGTGATCAATAGGAATAAAGTACAAGTATATACATGGAGGGATTTTCACCAACACATAAAACCTTCAAAATGGATCTTACACCGGCCCCCAAAATCCCTCCATACCACACAAGCTACCTTGATGCCTACGATCATGGTTCATTATATAACATATCACACCATAGGAACGAGTGGGACTTACAACAGTACGCTTACTCGACCTAACTACATTAATAACAACAAAGACTAATCCAAAGCTTCAAGGAGACCGGCTTCACCTGTTCTCTGGTGATCAACAATAACAGTCGTGATATAGACCTAATCACTCTTCCCCAAACTCCCCCCATGCTGTTGGATGAGGGCCTCGCTGACAATTCAATGTTTATCTTCTGATTCGACTGCTGCACAAACTTGCTTAACTCAGAAACTGTCCCCACGAAGCTTGACGCACTGACACTGTAAATCTCTGGAGGTTTCCTTCTTCCAATAAGACGTAATAGAGCCATTAAAAATGAATCAGTAATCAAACTACACATCATTTCAATATGTACTGCCCATGTTTGCAAACAAGTAAACACATATCCATACCCTTTTTCTAATGATCTTCCTACGTGTCCTTGTTCTTTATGACAATGTCAATTAGCATTTCCGTCACTAAGTGCGACTAGGTAAAATTACTGGATATCTAAAAGCATTTGGGAAATCTGAGTATCTTAGTCGACCTCCAACGCAGAGTAACCCATCAAGCATTATCAACGATAAACCTTTCAGATCATCATGGCTTACTACTTTACTGCTGTTTTTAAATTCACTAAGTAATTCTCCATACACTTCTCTCTGAACCATCAATAAAATCTTACGCTTGGCAATCTCAAGCTCTTTGACCTTAAAACATCCTAGATGAACGGATCCTTCACAACTCGGCAAACGAAGTACCATCAGGAATTCGATGAAGCTTTTAAACCAGGTTACAGCTCTGACTAATTTCAACCACTCGGAATAATAAAAGAGAACAGGTGTCTTGTTGAACTTTACACTACTCAAGTTAACCACAGCAGTTTTTCTAAACTCAATATCGTCAAGAGTAGGTTCCGTACAGTCAGTGATTGTTATATAAAATTCGCCATGCAATAAAATAGGACATTTGAACCAAGATTCAAGATCGGTCATTTTTTGTGTACTTCCTCTACATAATAATTCACTTATATGCTTAACGAAACTCTTTGCTTGATCCCAAGTGGGAATGAATATCAAGCAATCATCAACATAGAAATTATTCTTGACATCATCTTCAACATAACCATCATAACCGTCAGAGAATATTTGGGCCGTCTTATTCAGGGCAAGGTTCGCGCAAAATGGCGATGATGTGGCATCAAATGGATGGG